GTGGAAAGACATGGATAGCTGTTGGTGAAGGTACAAAACCCTTCCATATTCTGGGTGATAACATGCTGCCTTCCAGTTGGTGGTAGATAAGGTAGATAAGATAATAAGTTGGATAATCAATACATTACTAAAATGTTTGTAACTTTTAACTGGCTGAAACACTGCATCCTAGGGCAAAATGTTTTGGACCAAGGTACCTCAAATGAGCTAATTTGCACAATGCACCCAAAATCCGGGACCCATGAGTCCCGTGGAAATGAAATTGGGCAAATCCTATAAAATATTTATGACATAAAATTATCATAAAGTACTTATGGCATAATATATCATGAAACATTTTCTCTGGTCAACTCCCGATGTTTGACTTTCGAGACAGATACATCTTTTGAATATAGCCCTGAATTTTAAAGAACTTTTGAAATACATTAGAAACTCTGCCATTGTTGAGTACATTGAGCAATCTAGTAAGAAAATATCTTTGAAATGGTGACCCAAGGTGTCGTGCGTTGTCTAGTAATAATAGTTGGGCAGTATAAATTCCTAAAAGCAAAATTAAAGTTTTATACACCATCATTGTTACCTGAGGCAAGAACCTTCCTTCATAAAAATTAAAAATTTTCTTCCCATATGCTCTTCCACTAAAACTCATAAACAGAATATGCTTTACTGATTATCATTCCCCTTTCATTTGTAACTTTTAATAATTCTTAATCAAATTCTTTATTCTCCCTACAAACAGGTTGTTTGGATTCCCCTGAACTGGGCATTCCAGAAATGGGGGCCGGCTCTCCTGATGGCAGCTTTTACTTGGTGGCTGCATGAACTGCAGAAGTGACACTGAATTTCTATTAATGGTCATTGCTGGACTTTGACCAACCTGCATCTCACCCTGGAGGTGGCACTGACTTTGCATTTTTAAAGTTTCCTATGAAAAGCTCTTTTTTTTCTATTTAAAGTGTAGGGTAGTGCTGGGTCACTGCTATTTTTCATACTTTTAAAAACAGAAATATTAATATGGGTTTGTTGCTGGGAAACTACCTGAATTGCTTGTTTTAAAATATGTCTGCAGGGTTAATTCATATATGTCTTTTATACATTTATAAGATGTCTACTTCATGGAGAGATTTTCTGTATTAGCAAGATGATAGAAGGAATGCTGGGCATCCTTTTAAATTATATTTGCAGTATAAAATATCTAAGGCAATTTGTAATCTTAACAACTTAAAAATAAAACTAATGTTCCATTTATAGTTCTTAAAAGTATTGGCTGCTTTCTGTGTCTTGGTCTATCTAGGCAATATTGCAGAAAGGGAACTTTCATCCTTTCAACCAGGAACATGATTATTTTTGCTGTGGACAGAGAGATCAATGCTGTGTCACTTCAAGAAGGAATGTTTGCTTCCATGACACTTGGATATAAATTCCACAAATAACTCAAAATTATTATCCCAGAACAAGGCAAACACAGTACATAAAAACATGTTTAACTGTGCTTCATTCAAGAAAGTACAAGCGGTTGGCATACCATATACGTAAACACTGATCAAATGTTTACTTAGTTGTGTGAAGAATAACACAATTATTTATAGATCTGCCCTTCTGATATAATCGAAAGCTTCCACTTTTAAGTTGCTTTCTCCTGGCTGCATTATCTTCAGCCTGACATAAAGTATTTCAGTAATGTAATCTGGATTACTAAAACCCTAAAATAGATTATCTATGGCCTGGCACCATTAAAGGCAATGGCCCTGATATGCACACATGAGCATTTATTCTGTTCCAATAAGGCTTCTGATCAAATAGGTTTCCATGTTATTGAAATCATCATAAAAATATAAGCATACTAGCAGCAGGGAAAAATATCCAGCCAGTGAATAATGGTGATAGCTTCATTATCACTTCCAACTTCCTGAAATAACCATGCCATGAAAAATTGCTTGTGCCATGTTTAAAAGGTTGATCTGCAGGACAAGTAATCTGTAGTCTGTTAGCTTTGCTATAATGACAAATTTAGTAACAAATTACTATTGCAAGAAACCAGGTAGTGCCCTGGAATTGTAGACTTGACAAAAGCTGAAAAAGTCCTGGCAGAAGGCAGAAAGAAACCACTTTCATACCATTGCCAGGGTAACTGCATGCTTGTGCCCCTGTTGCCACTAGAAGTCAAATAAGACTCAGAGACTTCTTTTAACAAGGAAAGTAGGAAGTGAGGAAATATTTGGTCCTAATTGTAACTCATGGTTTCGCATGTGAACAGAATGTAACATGGGCAATACACACAATCTATAATTCTAATTCAGGCTGCGATCAAGAATATTGTGAGGAAATCCAATTAAACTCTCCAATTTGAAATCAAAATATGCATTTGATAAATGGCAGAAATACGAAGAGTTTAGCAATCAGTGGGGCTTTGACAAAGTAGACCAGCTTTTCCCAAAATGATACATATGCTTAGCAGGATAATCAGATTTGAATATTTGCAGTAACGGAATAACAAGAGTTTGAAGGGACCTTGTAGGTCTTCTATCTAGTCCAATCCCCTGATCAAACAGGAGACCCTATGCCATTCCAGACAAATGGCTGTCCAGTGTCTTCTTTAAAACCTCCAATGATAGAGCATCGACAACTTCTGGAGACAAATTGTTCTGTCAGAAAATCTCTCCTTAGTTCTAGGTTGAACCAGTCTTAGAATTGGCAATGAAGATATTGAAGTGATAGATAGCTTCCATCTTTTATGCTCAACCAACAACAAAGAACAAGCAGTTGAGAAATATGCTACAGCAGCTACCAAGTCCTTGGAAAAGATATTCAATGTGATTTGACTGTATCTACAAAGTTCAGAAACATGTAAGCCCTGGTATTTTCTGTGACACTCTTAGAAGTGAAAACTGGACCTTGAAGAAGAAAAGAATTTGACAATTTTGAATGTTGCTGTTAGAGAAGATTCCTGCGACTATCAAGCACAGCTAAAAACAAATGCATTATTGAACAAATCAACCTAGAATTATCCCTTGAAGCACAAACAACTGGGCTCAAATTACCCTACTTCAGATACATTATGCAAAGACCTACTTTGTGAAGAAGGCCCCAATGCTGGAAAGGTAGAAAGCAAAAAATAACCAAGAGGCAAGTGATGGATTCAGTTACACTGGCAATAGCTGCACTATTGGTTAGGACCAAGTTAGGAACTTGGAGAAAATCTATTTATGATTACTAGGGAATTGAAAATGACTTAATGACACATAATTGATATATTATTTCCTAAAGACAGATAATGTTTCAGGAAGAAGCTTTAGATCTCTGCTTAAGAGGGTTTAGTAAGGACTTATCTTTGTACTTTTTGTGGTCAAAGAGTGCTGTGGACAGCATATTATTGAGAGAGGTCTCATCAATCAAACAAATAAGAAAAATGGAAAATAGTCATTTTTTACTGTGGGCACACTGGCACACATACAAAATGAAATTCTGTTGCCTGCTCTCAAAAGTGTACACATGCATAACATACATATAATAGCATGGTTTGTGCCTAACACCAAGCTGTAACTGGATTCAGGTATCAGATTAAATCAGTACCAGACATCTCACACACTTAGCTCAAAAAATAACATATCCTGCCTGAGATTATTCAATATTCATTTTATTCATTTAATAATAAGAGGTAAAAGTGGGGTATTCTGCATTCAGGTTTTCACAATGAGAGCTATTTTAATTCAGAATTAAGCGGTAGCACCTTATTGTGACTGACTGATCTGGAAAAAAAAGGAAACAAGATCAAGCCTGCTTAACATTTTGACATGAAGCTACCAGGATATCCTAGGGCAGAGATCTCCAACCTTTCTCGGTTGGCGGATCGAAGGGAAATGCAGGGGGAAGCATTTTACATGCGCACACAAACAGGGCCAAGAGCACACATGCAAATGGGGCAGTGCTAGTGCCCATATGACACTCAGTAGGACCGCCCTGTTTTCGCCATGCAGCACCCCATTTGCATAGCAGCAGCACCCCGTTTGCATAGTGGCGGTGGCACTAGCACAAGTGGGGGTGAGTGTGTGCACTGGCCAGCCTGTTTCGCAGCCCGGTGGCCAGAAAGCCACAGCCCAGTAATAGGCCACGGACCACAGGTTGGGGACCCCTCCTAGGGCTTGACTGCGAAAAAACAATTCCATTTCGTCTGTTGCCCCCAAAAAGAACATGACTATATCCATATGGTCACTGGGAATCATGTTATTAAAATATTTGCTTTTGTCTTGGAAATAGTTTATTTTGTGTTACACTGGGACATATATTTACTTCGATTATCCATTATATATTTATAACTTGTACTACAGAGAACTTAGAAAATGAAATGTGACTTTTTTCGACATGGTAGGCCACTTGGGCAAATCTCATGTAATTCTGTTTGCCCAGCTTCAGCAGTTCCTTAAGGAAATCTGTATGTAAAAAATTAGAATTTCTGAGTTCAGTGTTCAGAGTAACTACTTAAATTAAAAAAAAAATCTAGTTCAGAAGGAGTGAACACAGACGCGTGAACACTGTTGAAGCAATGACTTTCTAAAGCTCTGAATTCTAATGAATTCAAATTATTAGACTACTGTAGCAAATTATCTGCCTTTCAAACATTCAATTTCAGAAAGCTATTGCCATAGCCAGTCAGATTGATCAAGATTCGTGCTGCCATCACCAAAACAATAATTTCCTTCCAAACACCTCAACACATATGAAAAACGAACAAAACATTGTAAAAACATTCGTTTTTAATAAAATTGCTCTCAACAAGTAACTGTAAGTCTTTTCAGCCATTATGCCACCAGGACAACTAGGCGAGGGGAATTAGGCCTGTTAAATAGGCACGTACCAAATACATGTAAGCCAGTGGTGGGATTCAAATACGTGAACAACCGGTTCTCTGTTTGGATGCCGCTTCCGGAAGTCCATTCTGGGTCTGGGTAACAAAAAATTAGCTACCTATTCTGCCAAAGTGGTGCGAACCGGCTGAATCCCACCACTGCATGTAAGGCACTCACAGGAAATGTGTTAATTTGATGAAAGGCTCGGAAAGACAATGGACAATATTTTCGCTCTGGACATGGCAATAAACCTGTGCAAAGAAATTATGCAGGGAGAAAATGACCTTCCATTTCCTGCAAGGATCTCTACGTTTCTTCATTTGTTTCATCTTCAGAAACATCAATATTACTATAGTATCTTGAGGCCTTTAAATTGCAACTTCTTAGAATTGCACCTAACTGTTTTCCAGGTCCCACTTCATATGTATAAGGAAACTTTTTTCCTTGATTCCTTTCATAGATTCTGTGCATTATTTGCTCCCATTTCACCGGTGAAACCAATTGTTCCACTAAATAATGCTGAATCTGTTCTGGTTGCATGTATTTCTTGCTATCCACATTTGAATAGACAGAGATGAGAGGCTGTTGGATGCTGATTGATTCAAGAGCTTCAGATAAAGGTTGCATTGCTGATTTCATTAGGCGGGTATGAAAAGCACCACTCACGGGCAGCATTTTTACACGTGCAAATGAAAATTTTCTTGAATTTTTCTGTAAAAATTCCAAAGCCTAAGATTTAAAAAAAAAAGAGTTATTTCACTCATCTAGAATTGCTTTAATATACTTCACTTTTGAAAGAATTCTGAATAAACAGCTGCACACTGATAAAATGTGATCCAAGAAAAACAACAACAAAAAAGATGTTTCAGAAGCACGCAACTGGTCAATATTAGTATAAGCACTAAAAATTAAGCCAGAAATAAGAAGTTTTAACATACATTCACCATCAGAACAGAAAAACCATGTTGTGGGCTGCCTTTAAATGTAGTTTGGATACTTTGTGATGCATGGTATCATGAGACGGCATCTCCTATTGCTGGCAAACCTAACAGTCCTGATTGTGAATGAAACTTTAGGACCACACAGGTTGTTAACTGAGAACCTCACATAACCATGTCATGGGAAGAGACAGCAGGCAAACAAGCCAGCGCTGCAGGCAGATGAGTAGGTACCACTGGTAGGTTGGCTGGCTGGGGCTGCAGGGAAATGGTGCATGGATGCCACAAACGAAAAAGATGTAGGAATGACTTGCAACTTCCTACTGGTTTCCTCATTGACTTTGCTTGTGGGAAATTGGCAGGGAAGGTCACAAATAACCATCACATGACTGCAGCACACTGGAACACTGTAATTGTGAGCCAGTTGCCAAGTCCCAAATAAGGATCATGTGATTGTGGGGACGCTGCAACACCTGTAACTTTGTGGACTGGTCCCAAGTCTCTCTCGCATGGTGCCACAGTAACTTGGAACAGTTGTTGAATGAGTGGTTGTAATCCAAGAACTGCCCATAGTTCTTCATCTTTATAAAAGGGACCCTCAATCTTTCCGAGTACCAGGCACCGTGGAACGATGTCTGTGGCAAAAATAAACCCTTTAAAATAAATATTCCTGATTTAATTTAAGATTATATTTTATAGAAAATAAAGATGGTTTCCCTATAAACATCCTGCACAATATGTTGACAACTATGTCATGTTTAGCTACTGTCATTATGTTTCTTTCTAAATCATTAGCATGCTAATTATATTGGGGAGGGGCAATATTTCGAATGTAACGACAACTAATTCTGCCAAAATGAGAAAGTAGGAATCAAGAGTCAGCCCAGCTAGGTCTCCTCAATTTACAAATCCATCCAGCCTGCCAGCAGGAAAGTACATTACAGTCCAACTCATTTACAATACAATATTCTTTACTGGCCAAGTGTGATTGGACACACAAGGAATTTGTGTCCGATGCGTAAGCTCTCAGTGTGCATACAAACAACAAAGTAATATGAGTAGAAGGTAATAGGAAAGATGAGAAGGATAATAGTAATAGAGCCCTACTACATGCGTAAATATCCTTAGACATAAGACAGTGCTGTGGGAATTAGGCGTTCAGCAGAGTGATGGCATGAGGGGAAAAAACTTTTTGTATCTAGTTGTTTTGGCATGCAATTAGAGCTTTTAATTAATGCAATTAATTATTGTAATTACTTATTGTAATTATTATTGTAATTAGTATTTATATGTATATATGTATATATTATAATATTAGTGTTTATATTACAATAATTATTATTGCAATTAGTAATTAATTAATGCAATTAGAGCATCTCAGGTTGGGGAAGTTGACTTGTTCTCCGAGTATCTTTCCACTGTCAACTACAATTGTTTTTAATAATACCTGTAAATGTCCTGCAATGACTCTGCTGTCTGGAAACAAGTAGTTTGAAACTTCACATACAGGATCTTCTATGCCCACTGACTTGCAGTATTCACAAGCTTCCAAACAAGCAGCTTTATAATCTGAATCTCTTCGGCCAATAACAGAGAGCATCCCACTTGCTATGACTTCGGAGGCCTCTTGCATAGCTTCAGCACGGGTCTTGACAGCATACAGGGCTGCAGAAAAAAAAATCTATATAAAGAGACTTATCCAAGCTTGAGATTGTTGCTACAGAGCAAAAATGGCGGTAGCAACAGAAAATGTAAAACTCATTTATGCAGAATTCACAGATCAGTTATTCTGAAATCTTGGAAGTATTTGATGTAAATTGTTCCCAATTTGTTCTGCAAATTACTGTGGTTATTGGGAGAAAAAAAAAGAGATGATATAATCTTACACATTTCTTCTATATTGTATTCATAGTTATGTAATGTATGTAATATATTGGGAATTTAAACAATGATGCTTTTTACAGCATGAGTATGAAACGCTCTTTATATATTTGACAAATAAGAGTATTTAAAAATGGGTAAGTAGTTTTCAAAATTGAAATTATTATATTTTTTAAAATTGCATCTTTATATGATAGTTAAAAACATATTAATAACAATGTAGTAGTTCGTATAAAGAAGAGGGCTGGAAACTACCAACTTTAAAATCTCTGGGGAATCCTTTTCATTTCACATTTGGCAACCACAGAATTCACATGCCGAAGATATGGGATTACAGTTGCCTTTACTCATATCTGTGTAGCTCTGTTAAGGATCAGTATACGTTACATAGTCCCACATGAGCCAAAGATGTATTTGAAACAGACACAACTTTTGGTGAATCGCTGATTCAAAGACATCCTTTTGAAAATTGCTTCAAAACGACAAGGCATGCAAGCCAGTGTCTATGGAGATTCTCTTATCATCCAGGTCAGGGTTGTCCCAAAAGTGCTTGTTTCCAAAAAGGCAACTGGACATTTTTAGGTTTTTGGGTTTTGTTTTATTTTTTTTAATATTTTGCTTCTCATGCAAGAAGTTCCTTCAGTTCAGAACAGAAGAGGTTTCTTGGAGGAAAAGCAAAACGTTTTCAAGGGAAAAACAAACAAAGTGTAGTTGTTTTTTTGGAAAAAAGTATTCTTGGGATATGCCCGCCCAGTTTCATTAGTTCGAGGGCTCCAAGTCATGCTGGTTGGAAAATAGGACCACAGTGAATGTTTGGGAAGAAAGATCCAAGGAAATTAAATATATCAATATAAGTAAAATGTCTCCCTTCCGCAAATCATAGGAATAAAAAGAATCTTAAAGACCATCTAAACCAGTTCCCTAACACAGAAAGTATGTTTTGTTCAGGTTTCTTTCAGTACCATATTTTCCCACACTTTCACTTTGGTTATTAATTGCTGCAGCTTGCAAAACATTTCAAGGATATTTTGCAAAAAATGCTGGCGTATCCAAAACATCTCTCTTCAAAGCACTAAGGAAGTTGTTCTGAGGCTTTCCCATGGTTATGCAAGGATACCTGGCCTGTTTCACTGGCAGCCCCAACATAAATGTTACCTGGATACCCACATGCATGCGCAGAGAACTTGAGAAAACCAAACCATGGTAAAGGAAGTTGAAATGACGATTTCGAATAATGTCTGCTTGCATAAGTTATATAGCTTTTTATGTATTTATTTAGAATTTGACAAATAAAAACAGGAATGAAAAGGAAGCTTTGCAGACCTAACTTCTGACTAGGCAAAACAGACATTGAAACAAATATTATCTTTACTTCAAAATACAGCTCTATTTTGGAGACAAATGAAACTACTAAGTGATGAGAAGACATGAATCAAAAAAAGACGAACAGCTTTACATTTAAAAGCTTAAACCACGGATTACCATAGACCAGGGGTAGGCAACCTTGGCTCTTTTATGACTCATGGACTTGGCTCAGGAATTCTGGGAGTTGAAGTCCACAAGTCATAAAAGAGCCAAGGTTGCCTACCCTTGCCATAGACCATAATTTAACAGAATGTCCAACATGAATTACTTTTTACAAGAAACCTGCACTAAATATTTCACTTGATACTTTAAATTTAAAATTTTACAAGAACCGTTTTTCAAGATCAGTATTTTAAATATATTAACATAATATATATTCAGTATTTTTTTTGCAAAACTGCACAACTGTACTGAAAATAAATGGCTATATAACATATTTCAAGTGTACCAAATGGATGCAAGGTTTCATAGATGTTCTGTGTAAGGTCTATGAACTATACATGATTCCTGTGCTTCACTTTTACATCAGCTTTTTTCATCAAGTGAACTCTGCAATAAGTTTCACATTTCAACAAAAGTAATCATAAGCAACTTTTCTTATTTAACTTTAGTAAATATGAAATTCCATTTTGGAGTTCTTGGAAAAAGTAAAATCAGGATTATTGTATATGATCGATTTGTAAAAGAAATATGTGAATCAACAAATATATCACAGATATATTAAACCATAGATGTGTAACCTGGTAGGACATATGGTGGTTCCAGTATCCTCTTGATACTGTTACCATCTCCCTCATTCTGCCACCTCTTACTTTTTGCTAATCAAGAATTTTTTTACTCACATACTTTGTATTTTATGAGAATTATAATCAAATGTTTTATTCCTCATAATATGAAGAATTTTTATTTCTCATGTGCACTCCTTTAATGCACATATTTAATTCAGTGTCAAAATGTTGTTCAGGATGGTGTAGCTCTAAGCTGAACAAAAATTGTGCATCCCAACATTACAATAAGGAAAAATACAATATTTCTGTATACTGATACTTGCTTTATACCTTCTGCATAATCCATGGCTCCTGCGAAAACAAGGGCAGCATATTCTCCAATGCTGAATCCAGCAGCTGCAACACAGCTCTCAAGTACCTGTAAAAATTAAAAATTTCACTTTTGAAAACATGTTCAGAAATGCACTGATGATGTCATACAGTTTAGTAAGGAAATATCTGCAAGAAAACTACCAAGCTCAGAGAGTACTTGGGATCTCACGTATTCAGAAAGCTAAACTGTATAATTTCTAGAAATGTTCTAAACTGAAAGCAAACAAGCTGTTTGTCTAATCTTAAGACACTAAGGCAGTGTTTCTCAACCTTGACAATTTTAAGGCATGTGGACTTCAACTCCCAGAATTCCACAGCCAGCAATGCTGGCTGTGGAATTCTGGGAGTTGAAGTCCACATGCCTTAAAATTGTCAAGGTTGAGAAACACTGCACTAAGGAATGAATGCTTTACTCTTACAGGAGAATATCCAGTTATTTCTTTATGCTTTAGCATCTATGGGATAGCACTTAAATCTTGCCCAGAAGCATCTTTCCCTCTCCATTAGTCTCAGATAGGTGAAAATGATGATAAAATATCTTCTGTAACTGTCTAGTAGAGTTTTCTAATTTCTATTTTCAGCTCTGAACTCAAAGATTCTCAGATTGATTAATGTCTCAATTAAGCACTGTCTAGTAAAATATGTGTTTGAGGCTAGTATTTTCTCTTCTAAAAATACAGATTTATACATTTTACAAAACAGCAGGTAAATAAATAAACCCAGATAAACCCAAATCATCAGAGCTTTTTAGTAAGTGGGTGTAAATCTGTTTATCATATACAGGTAGTCATCCCTTAACAATTATAATTGGGAGTTGCAACTTTCACTGATCAACACTGTTGTAAAGTATGACTCTCCCAGGACCTTCCCACAGCCATGTGATTACCAATCTCTGCCAACTTCCTCGTTTACATTTCCCCCACAAACAGCAATCACAATCACGTGACTGTGGATACTGCGTTGTAATTGCAAACTGTTTTTCAAGTGGCTGAATTACAATCACGTGATCCAGGGACATTGTGGCAACTACAAGGACCTACTACGGTATCATAAGTATCCCTCATTCGAGGCTGTGGAAACTGAATGGTCGCTGAACAAGTGGTGCAAGAACTACCGGTAAGTCATTCAGCTTTTATGTTGCAATTTTAAGAAATCGGGGGTTGCCATAGAGTTTTGAAAGTATTTTAAAATTCTGATTTTTTTGCACCTGTTAAAGATGGTTAAAGAATAAATATATTCCAGCAGCATGAGTTAAGTTTCTCAGGCTGACCCTTCTGTAATGTGTTAGCTGCTATTATCTGTTTCCAGAGAGAACGCTTGCTTAGGTTTCTCAACCACTTCATCTGGCTTATTTTCCAGATACTACAGCTTCTCTCGGGATGGCAATAGTATTGATCTTAGCCTTTTAAACCATTTTGATTGATATTCCCCAAGCAGCTTGGATCCAAGTTTGTCTCATCTGCTTCTTCAGCGTTTACCAGCAAGTTCCCTAAGACAGAAATTAACCCTTAAGCAGTTTCACATGTTGGCAGGGAGGATCCTGATTTTTGGCTGAGATAATAAGATGCCAAAGGCTCAATGGCATCTCCTCCTCCTCCTTCTCCCACAGAAAAGATTATTTTGCATGCCTCACTTTAACCGCTGAAGGGGTGGATTTTGGGGGAAACACTCCCTTAAACCCACGTCATTAAAACCCCCATCAAACAGCTTGGATGGATTCTGCCGCAGCAACAGCTCACAATCCTAGAACTGGAAGGGACCTTGGAGGTCTTCTAGTCCAGCCCCCTTGCCCTGTGCAGGGATCCTGAGACCAGCCCAGGCAATGGAGCTGCTCGAAAGGCTCCGGGATAGTCTCTCTCTCTCTCTCCCCCCCCCCCCCAAGACTTCGGCTTCTTTTCGTTCCTCGCCTTCGGGGGCTGGGAGTCTCCCACACGGCCGCCCTCGCAAGGGACCCTCCTCACCCAGGGCTGCTGGTGGTGCAGCTTCTCCACGGCAGCCAAAGAGCAGACAAAGACGGCGGGCTGGCTGTGCACGGTCCGGTGCAGCTGATCGCTGGGGCCGGCCTGGCAAAGGCGCCACAAATCGTAGCCGAGCACGGCCTCGGCCACGCGGAAAAGCTCGCGGACGTTGGGGTAGCGCAGCAGCCCGCGGCCCATTCCCACGAACTGGCTGCCCTGGCCGGGAAAGAGCAACACGGAGGTTTCCTCGGGGGCGCGCTGCACCGTCCGCTTCTTCTCCTCCACCTCGACGGTCGCGTTTTGCAACAGCTGCTGCACGCCGGCTCCCCCCTCGCCTCCGGGCGGCCGAGGGAACGGCTCCCGGCTGAGCCAGCGCCGAGCAGCCACCCGCACGGCCATGCCGGCCCCGCGCATGCGCATCGGAAGAGCCCCGGCGCTTGCTTCTGCTGCAGCCTCTGTTTCCTCGTTTAAAAACTTCCGCAAAAAAAAGCAAGACAAGGCTTCCCGGCAACGGAGGTTCCGCGGCTCCCAAAAGCGTGACGTCGCTCCGGGCGCAAGCGCGGTGTCGGCGTGTCCTGGAACAAGCCCAACCTTGGCTCTTTTATGACTCGTGGACTTCAACTCCCAGAATTCTTGAGCCAGCATGGCTGGCTCAAGAATTCTGGGAGTTGAAGTCCACGAGTCATAAAAGAGCCAAGGTTGCCTACCACGGCCCCAGTGGGATGGGGGACTGTGACAATTCGCCGCGGCCAGCTCGCTGCAGGACAACATTGAAGAAAGAGTGGAATAGAATCATTAAAGAAAGGATGCAAAAGGAGGGACCGCGTGAAATGTGAATGGCAAAAATTATTATTTTTTTATTTAGTTTAAATCTGTAGTTATATAAATAAAAATGTAAATGTTCGTTTGTTCAAAATCTTAAATCTCCGAAAGTTCTTCACCGATTGCTTTGAAATTTTGACACGACGTTGCATTCGAATACGCGCGTGTTTTTATATACCTACTATTATATAGATGTCACACCTGTGACAGGTAACATGCTTTCTTTGAAAAACAGCACCATCTGTTGGACGTACATTGAACCAGACTGAGCCACAGCAACGCGTGGCTGGGTATAGCTCAGTGATGGCGAACCTTTTAGAAACTGAGTGCCCAAACTGCAACCCAAAACCCACTTATGCATCGTCGAGTGCCGGGTGGGGGTGCCCCGTTGGGTGGGTGTGACCCATTGGGTGGGCGTGGCTGCAGTGGTAACGGCAGACTGGGTGGGACTAAAAAGTTCAATCAATTCCAACTTTGCAAGATTTTTTTTTCCTGCAAGGAGTTGAAATTGACTGGTTGAACCTTTTTTTTTTTTTTTTTTGCACACGGCGGCGGAGGCCTAAAGCAAAAAGGTTCTATAAAACCCAGCTGAAGGCCTAGGACTGGGGCGATGGCGCGCGTGCCCACAGAGAGGGCTCTGAGTGCCGCCTCTGGCACCCGTGCCATAGGTTCGCCACCACTGGTATAGCTAGTAATTAAATAGAATTGTTAACTTGTCCAAAGGTGAGTTGGCCACAGTGAATTGGCTGTGGCAAGTTGTCCCATTCTGCCTGGGAAGGCCTTGGGGCACCAGGAAGACAGAATGGGACAGCTCTCCACAGCCAATTTGCTACGGTCAGTTCACCACAGCCAATTTGTCACAGGGTAGTTCGCTGTGGGACAGTTCAACAGTTCAATTTAATTATTTAAAATAATTTTTAAAATATTTTAATTTTTGCCATTCAGATTTTATTTTGTCCCTGCTTTGGCACCCTTTCTTTCATGATTCTCTGAGAATATATATATTCTATTATATTAGTGTAACTCTTATCCCGTGGCGAGTTGGCCGTGGCCAGTTGTCCTTTATTAAGTTGGCTGTGGAAAGTCGACCATGGCGAGTTGTTATAGACCTCCCCCCCCCAGGAGGATGTTGGGGGGAATAGGTTGCTCTGAGACACTGAAGGACTTGAGAGATTATTTGTAGGGATGGAGCATCCTCTGTTGACTTTTCGCCCTTTGCCCTTGGAGTTCTTTCTCTTGGACCTTGGCGTGTCACAAAGCCAACTCAAGACTGGGCAAATTTGACGTGCTGGAGTTTGAGTGATGAGGTAATTCTTCCTTTCAGGAGTATTAATGATCTGGTCCTTCTTCTGTCTCCTCTTTTGCTTCAGACTTCTTCCATTGGCTTTGATAACATAAAAGATGGAATGTGTATGACCAGCTATTGAAGTAAACTAAGACAAATAGGAACAAAGTGATGGTAGCGGGATTGGTGGAGGGCTCCAGGTTACATTATTGTTACTATTGTTTTATCATATTTCAACTCAAGGTGGTGAACATACTGAACTTCTGCTTCCTCTTTCCCCCCACAAAAACCACCTGTGAGGTAGATTGAGTTGATGGGGGGGGGGCTGGCTGTAAGCCACCCACCTGACTTTCATGACTAAGAGAGAGATTGCTCTCTTGAAGCAACAATTAGAAACTTATACTTTGGACACACATGCAAGCAACTGGTAGAGTAGAAAAATGCCTACGATTGGGAAGTTGAGGAAAGTGGAAATCTGGATTTGTTGAACCAGAGAAATCAAATGCTGTTGGAAGA